CGCTCCACAGCATCTCACTGCGCTCCACTGCATTGCAACTCTCTCCACCGCATCTCACTGCGCTTCACTGCATTGCAACTCTCTCCACCGCATCTCACCTTGCTCCATCACATCTCACTGCACTTCACCGCGCTCTATGGCATTTCACTGCGCTCCACTGCATTGCAACGCTCTCCACCGCATCTCACCGCGCTCCACCGCATCTCACTGCGCTCCCACCACACTCCACAGCATCTCACTGCGCTCCACTGCATTGCAGCGCTCTCCACCACATATCACCGCTCCACTGCATATCCACTGCATCTCACCGCGCTGCAGCCAATAGGACTCAAATTGAAACTTTAGTCAGAAAAAGAAAGAGTAACTCCACTTTTCTTAAGATAAAAAAACCTACCCCTTCTGGGTGGTCTTCGTACATTGCAGGAATTTTAACAAACGTTGTTGTGGTTTCCTCCCACACTCCAAAGACATGCTGGTAGGTTAATTGGCTCCTGTCTAAATTGTCCCTAGTATGTGTATGTATGATCAAAATATAGTAGCTTGATTACCCTCTAATAACAATGTAGTGTAAACATAATACCAAACCCCCAAAAAAAATGTGTAATCATCCCAAAAATTGTGTAAATAAAATAATAAAAAATAATAAAAAAAAAAAAAAAAAAAAAAAAAGAAGAGTCCAAAAAAAAGAGTCCCAAATTAAGAGTCCCAAATTTTTCCAATCTTTATCTTAATTCTTCATATCTTCCAACATTCTTAGTGATGTACTTCAAACCCGATCTTCATATACCTCAAGAAAAAAGAGCTCAACATGTGTGATATCTTCAAAGAAAAAAGGTATCTAAACAACCGTGCCACACGTGTTTCATGCACATAGAAATCAATGTGCCACCATAACCGTGAGAAGAAAGATAACCCTCAACCTTAGGAGTCACTCCACTACATACCACCAAAGGGAGTTCATAGTTACCCTCAAAATGGTATCAGGGGTCTGAGTATTTCTTTCCACTTTATAGATATTCCTTCAGCCTTTCCAGCCACTTCCCACAGACCTCAATAACAGACCATGGATCAGTATATATCATAAAACTTATAGCACTTTATTGTAGCAACTTACATTCAAGTAAGATGACATCAGCTTCACAAACGGTATATTCCCAATCCTTCCTCTCCTCACAAGTGTACAGATTGCCACACTATCACACTCCCGAGGGAGGAACGGTTGCCGTGAGTTCCCAGTACCTCAAAGCCCCACGAGGATTGCAGGAAAACACAGCCGCATGTACCAGGATCAAAGATGGCCGTCGCCGCACTTCCGGAAGAGCGTACCTACGTCACCACGTCACGTGCCCCGGACGCGTTTTCGTCACATCCGGACTTTTTTTTTTTTTTATTATTATTTTATTATTTTATTTACACAATTTTTTTGGGATGATTACACATTTTTTTTGGGGGGTTTGGTATTATGTTTACACTACATTGTTATTAGAGGGTAATCAAGCTACTATATTTTGATGATTTTTGTACTTCAGGGGAAGGATTGTGTTAGTAACTTGGTGGGGATTCTACTTTGGGAAAGGAGAGTGCTATTTCTTTATACATGTGTATGTATGAATGTGAGTTAGGGACCTTAGATTGTACGCCCCTTGAGGGTTAGGGACCTTAGATTGTACACCCCTTGAGGGTTAGGGACCTTAGATTGTACACCCCTTGAGGGTTAGGGACCTTAGATTGTACACCCCTTGAGGGTTAGGGACCTTAGATTGTACACCCCTTGAGGGTTAGGGACTGCTGTGAATGTACAATATATATGTAAAGTGCTGCATAAATTGAGGGCGCTATATAAGTACCTGAAATAATAGTGCCATCAATTTACGCAGTGCTTTACATTATATTGTATATTCACATCAGTCCCTAACCCTCAAGGGGTGTACAATCTAAGGTCCCTAACTCACATTCATACATACACATACTAGGGACAATTTAGACAAGAGCCAAATAGTCTTTGGAGTGTTGGAGGAAACCAGGGTACCCGGAGGAAACCTACGCAGGCACAGGGAGAACATTCAAACTCCAGGCAGGTAGTGCCGTGGCTGGGATTCAAACCAACAACAACCTAGTGCTGCCAAGCGGAAATACTAACCATTCAGCCACCATGCTGCCCCATGATTTCCCTTTTCTCACCAAAAATGACATTTGTGTTACAGGGGATGCCCAAAATCTGACTTGTATCTTAGTGCAGACTTCTGGAAAAATCAGTGAGCCAATCACACAAGCAGGAAATGACATTTTCAAGGGGCGTTCTGTATACCATCTGTGTAGAGAACACCTCTAGGCAGCCATATTGTATTTTGCAGACAATTACAGCACTGCAGATTGAAAAGGAAAGGTCATTTTTATTAACATTCAATAACAACTTGAGTCACAATTGTAAGCGCTCTATTATATTTTTTTTTTATTTGCTTTTTTTCCCATGAAAGTGGAGTTACCCTTTAATGCAATGAAACCACGTCTATTTCAGCATGGTGATCTCTATGTTAATTACTCTGCTTGTTTGTGTCTGTGTCCAGGGGCGGACTGACCGTTTGGAAACTCGGGCACTGCCCGAGGGCCCGGGGTCAGTAGGGGGCCCCATGAGATGCCCCTGGTACCTCTTTCATAGGCTTTTTTGAGTTTGGGCAAGAACACAGGGGCCCCATGATCCCCTATTGCCCGGGGGCCCCATGAGTTGTCAGTCCGTCCCTGTCTGTGTCAGATCTGTGTAGCTTTTTTTATCAGCTGCTGCACTTCTAGGGCTTTAATGAGGAAAGTGGCGGGGTCTGCATCCCTTTAAACATGATTTCCCTTTGGGAATACTTCACCAAAAATGCCATTTTTGTTGTGGGGGAGATGCCCAGAATCTGACCTCCAATATAATGCAGTCTTCTGGGGAAATCAGTGAGCCAATCACACAAGCAGAAAATGGCATTTCTGGAAAGGGGGGGGAGGGGTACAGAACACCTCCAGTTTGCCGTATTGCATTTTACAGAAAATTACAGAGTCGCGAATTGAAAAGGAAAGGTCAAGTTTAATAAATTAGTGTATGTGTTATGTTTTTTTTTTTTTTTTTTTTTTTACAATATTTTTTTCCTATGAAAGTGGAGTTACCCTTTAGGCACATTTTTTTTTAGCTTTAATAACAGAAAGAATAATAGCAACAATGAAAAAAATTTCCTAACAGGCAAGAGTAAACAATAAACATGGTTGTACAATACGCTTATAAAGATGTACCGCAGGTCCAGAGTGGGGGGGAGATTCCCCTATAAGGATTGCTAGCATACAAATAAAAAACATAAGCGAGCGCAGAGATGCAATAAAAATAAATGGCATGACTGAGGGAGGTTACTAGAGGGCAACTCAAAAGAAAGAAATATATGATTGTAGCTTATGAGAAAGGAAGAGTTTGACACGACGCCTAGAAAATACTGCGCACAATATTGTTACAGCCAACCATAGGGAAGAGCAATGAGTCTGAAAGTGGTATTGAACCCAAAAGCAAATATTTATTGTATTATATTATATATATTTAATTCATAAATGTGGCTGCATTCACTTTCTTTTTTAGGCTTTCTTTCCTTTCACCTGTCACCTGGTGATCTGGCCAGTAAGTTGTTTTTCAACAGAACAAGATCTCATACAGATGTACCAGTTAAAGTGTTACTAAACCCAGGACCCCGCATTCACTATATCCGCTCTCCCCGGACCCTGCATTCACTATATCTCTGATCATCCCTGATCTCCCCGGGCCCTGCATTCACTATATCCGCTCTCCCCGGACCCTGCAATCACTATATCTGCTATCCACGGACCCCGCATTCACTATATCTGATCTCCCCGGACCCTGCATTCACTATATCCGCTCTCCCCGGACCCTGCATTCACTATATCCGCTCTCCCCGGACCCTGCATTCACTATATCCATCCCCTGCACTATATCCGCTCCCCGGACCCTGCATTCACTATATCCACCCCGCATTCACTATATCCCTCTCCCCGGACCCAGCATTCACTATATCCGCTCTCCCCGGACCCTGCATTCACTATATCCGCTCTCCCCGAACCCCGCATTCACTATATCCGCTCTCCCCCCTGGACCCCGCATTCATTATATCCGCTCTCCCCGGACCCTGCATTCACTATATCCGGTCTCCCCGGACCCTGCATTCACTATATCCGCTCTCCCCGGACCCTGCATTCACTATATCCGCTCTCCCCGGACCCTGCATTCACTATATCCGCTCTCCCCGGACCCCTGCATTCACTATATCCACTCTCCCCGGACCCCGCATTCACTATATCCGCTCTCCCCGGACCCTGCATTCACTATATCCGCTCTCCCCGGACCCTGCATTCACTATATCCGCTCTCCCTGGACCCTGCATTCACTATATCTGGTCTCCCCGGACCCCGCATTCGCTATATTTGGTCTCCCCCGAACCCTGCATTCACTATATCCACTCTCCTCGGACCCGGCATTCACTATATCCACTTTCCCTGGACCCTGCATTCATTATATCTGGTCTCCCCAGACCCTGCATTCACTATATCCGCTCTCCCGGGACCCTGCATTCACTATATCCGGTCTCCCCGGACCCTGCATTCACTATATCCGCTCTCCCCGGACCCGGCATTCACTATATCCACTTTCCCCGGACCCTGCATTCACTATATCCGCTCTCCCTGGACCCTCCATTCACTATATCCGCTCTCCTCGGACCCTCCATTCACTATATCCGGTCTCCCCGGACCCTGCATTCACTATATCCACTATCCCCGGACCCTGCATTCATATATCCAGTCTCCCCAACCCTGCATTCACTATATCCAGTCTCCCCGACCCTGCATTTACTATATCTGGTCTCCCCAGACCCTGCATTCACTATATCTGGTCTCCCCGGACCCTGCATTCACTATATCCACTCTCCCCGGACCCTGCATTCACTATATCCACTCTCCCCCCGAACCCTGCATTCACTATATCTGGTCTCCCCGGACCCTTCATTCACCATATCCAGTCTCCCTGGACCCTGCATTCACTATATCTGGTCTCCCCGGACCCTGCATTCACCATATCCGGTCTCCCCGGACCCTGCATTCACTATATCCGGTCTCCCCGGACCCTTCATTCACCATATCCAGTCTCCCTGGACCCTGCATTCACCATATCCAGTCTCCCTGGACCCTTCATTCACCATATCCAGTCTCCCTGGACCCTGCATTCACTATATCTGGTCTCCCCGGACCCTGCATTCACCATATCCGGTCTCCCCGGACCCTGCATTCACTATATCCGGTCTCCCCGGACCCTTCATTCACCATATCCAGTCTCCCCGGACCCTGCATTCACCATATCCGGTCTCCCCGGACCCTGCATTCACCATATCCAGTCTCCCTGGACCCTGCATTCACCATATCCGGTCTCCCCGGACCCTGCATTCACTATATCGGCTCTCCCCGGACCCTGCATTAACTATATCCGGTCTCCCCGGACCCTGCATTCACTATATCCGCTCTCCCCGGACCCTGCATTCACCATATCCAGTCTCCCCAACCCTGCATTCACTATATCCGGTCTCCCCGACCCTGCATTCACTATATCTGGTCTCCCCGACCCTGCATTCACTATATCTGGTCTCCCCGGACCCTGCATTCACTATATCCACTCTCCCCGGACCCTGCATTCACCATATCCAGTCTCCCCAAACCTGCATTCACTATATCTGCTCTCCCCGGACCCTGCATTCACTATATCCGCTCTCCCCAGACCCTGCATTCACTATATCTGCTCTCCCCGGACCCTGCATTCACTATATCTGGTCTCCCCGGACTCTGCATTCACTATATCTGCTCTCCCCGGACCCTGCATTCACTATATCCGCTCTCCCCAGACCCTGCATTCACTATATCCTCTCCCCGGACCCTGCATTCACTATATCTGGTCTCCCCGCTCTCATCCCTCCCCGGACCCTGCATTCACTATATTCGGTCTCCCCGGACCCTGCATTCACTATATCCGCTCTCCCCGGACCCTGCATTCACCATATTCGGTCTCCCCGGACCCCGCATTCACTATATCCGCTCTCCCCGGACCCTGCATTCCCATATTCGGTCTCCCCGGACCCTGCATTCACTATATCCGCTCTCCCTGGACCCTGCATTCCCTATATCCGGTCTCCCACAGTACACACAACATGGAAATCCAATTATTTTAGTAGATATAAAAGTGCTATATACCTTTTCTCATCAGCAGTATATAACAGTCTTGTGACTTCAGCAGAGCACTGGTTAAAGCTTGTAGGAGGAGTTTTCTTTCTGCTCTAGGAGGATGCAGAATCCCTGACCTCTGTCTGGACAGTACTGATTGGCCCTGCGCTGATCACATGCACTCTCTCATGAAAAAAGAAAAAAACCTCTCTAGCAATACACACCAATATGAGCTTGTGCATGTGGCTATGGGCAGTCTTGTGACTTCTATCAGTGTCCGGCAGAGCACTGGTTAAAGCTTGTAGGGGGAGTTTTCTTTCTGCTCTAGGAGGATGCAGAACCCCTGACCCTCTGTCTGGACAGTGCTGATTGGCCCTGCACTGATCACATGCACTCTCCCAAGAAAAAATAAAAAAACCTCTCTAGCAATACACACCAAACTGAGCATGTGCATGTGGCTTGGGGTTCAGTCTGTCTTATCAGGTGGACATTTGAACAAGAGGAGGGGCAGAGAAGACAGGATCAAACAGCCTTTTTACACAAGGCAGAGGATTAACCCCTTAGATTCCACAGTGAGTATAACAAGCATGCTTTACTGCATCTACAGACTGATTGTACTCTGGTGGGTTTAGTAACACTTTCACACTGTTGAGCAGGGCTTTTTTGAGTTTGGGCAAGGACACAGGGGCCCCATGATCCCCTATTGCCCGGGGGGGCCCATGAGTTGTCAGTCCGCCCCTGCTGTTAAGACAAACCATTCACCACTGACAGGGGTGCTTGCAATGATCAGCTTTTTTTAAAAAATATTTTCAAACCTTTTTCCCAAAAGAAAAAAATAGTGTTGCTGTAACTGCAGTGTGAGCTGTTTTTCTATCAGGAGAAAATCGTTCAGAATCGCCCCGTGTACATGAGGCCTTATTGCACAATTACATCGGTCCAAACTGAACCATTGCAAGTCTGTATACCTTCTACTGAGAGTCCACTATGAAAGCTGGCAGTCAGTGTGTAGCAGGGGCGGACCGACAACTCATGGGGCCCCCGGGCAATAGGGGATCATGGGGCCCCTGTGTCCTTGCCCAAACTCAAAAAAGCCTATAAAAAAGGTACCCGGGGCATCTCATGGGGCCCCCTACTGACCCCGGGCCCTCGGGCAGTGCCCTAGTTTCCAAATGGTCAGTCCGCCTCTGGCTCTACTACAGCGATTGCCATACTCTTCTGGGTCTGCTGCCCCACTGCATACTGACCCATAGGGGGTCGCTTGGCACTGCTGCAATTCACAGAACGCCTGTTTTTTGGGGGGGTTTTTTCAATGAAAACAAGGCGATCTCTGCTTGGACGAGGTAAAGAGGAGTGGTAGGTATGATATGATCCAGGGGTGGGACTGACAACTCATGGGGCCCCCGGGCAATAGGGGATCATGGGGCCCCTTTTTCCCTGCCCACACGCAAAGCATTTTCTCTGCCAAGGAGGAGGTGTAACAGCTGCGATGACATCATATCCTCTCCTCTCTCTCTGCAGTAAAAGGAAACTACAGTTCCCATCAACCACAGGGAATGGCAGTGAATGTGGGTGGGTACACTAGGCCTGCACATGTTGAATGTGTCTGAAAGTCTCGGTCCGCCCACCACTGCAAGTGGGGCAGAATGACATCACTGCTTCCTGGAGAAAGAACTACAGAAGGGATGTGCCAAGACCAGTGGCTGTGGAGGGAATAGAAGGCATAGCAGCCACCGGTCTTACAAACAGGAAACCAAAGAGATTTAATGGTTTGATTTGAAAATGAATCGGCTATTTCAGAGCAACTACTGAGAGAACCAGAAGATAGATGACATATTTGGTGACGGGAAGAAATCAGCAACAAGGACATGTAAAGAAGTTCTGCTTTAATGTCTACTTGGCTTCATTTCTTTCAGCCACTCGTGCAAAAAGTTCCATTGTCACCAGGGGCGGACTGACAACTCATGGGGCCCTCGGGCAATAGGGGATCATGGGGCCCCTGTGTCCTTGCTCAAACTCAAAAAAGCCTATGAAAAAGGTACCAGGGTCATCTCATGGGGCCCCCTACTGACCCGGGGCCCTCGGGCAGTGCCCGAGTTTCCAAATGGTCAGTCCGCCCCTGATTGTCACTAATCACCGGAAGGCAGAGATGGCGATACCTGCCTGCAATGAAGAGGAACACGCCCACTACTGTATGTTCATATCAATAATGATCAGTTTTTTTTTTTCATGAATCTACCTTTATCTCCGAGTTCTGGAACATCTCCATGGCCTCCTCCACCAGCACCTCCTCATATCCAAGTTTACAGAGTCGATCTGTGGCTCCCAGATAACCCAGAACCTGGTGTAAGAATCAGAAAAACTGCAGTGAGAAGGTGTTATCCCAGGGGTGGGCAAACTTTTTGACTTGAGGGCCGCAATGGGTTCATATATTGGACCCGGGGCCGGACCAAGAGTAGATGAATGATGTGTATGTGTCATCCATAGTAAGTATAGTAATATTCCCCCATAGTAAGCATAGTAATTAATCCCCCATAGTAATTAATCCCCCATATAGTAATTAATCCCCCATATAGTAATTCATCCCCCATAGTAATTCATCCCCCATATAGTAATTCATCCCCCATAGTAATTCATCCCCCATATAGTAATTCGTCCCCATATAGTAATTCGTCCCCCATATAGTAATTCGTCCCCCATAGTAATTCATCCCCCCTATAGTAATTCATCCCCCATAGTAATTCATCCCCCATATAGTAATTCATCCCCCATAGTAATTCATCCCCCATATAGTAATTCATCCCCCACATAGTAATTCATCCCCCATATTAATTCATCCCCCATATAGTAATTCATCCCCCATATAGTAAGTCCCCCATATAGTAATTCATTCCCCATATAGTAAGTCCTCCATATAGTAATTCATTCCCCATATAGTAAGTCCCCCATATAGTAATTCATCCCCCATATAGTAAGTCCTCCATATAGTAATTCATTCCCCATATAGTAAGTCCCCCATATAGTAATTCATTCCCCATATAGTAAGTCCCCCATATAGTAATTCATTCCCCATATAGTAAGTCCTCCATATAGTAATTCATTCCCCATATAGTAAGTCCCCCATATAGTAATTCATCCCCCATATAGTAAGTCCCCCCCCTGTGTCAATTCACTTACCTTTGGTCCGCGCGTTCCTCTCGTATTCCCGCGCCGTTTGGTCTTCAGGGAGGACTGTGAGAGGAGTTCGTCACGCTGCCCCGCCTACATCCTGACAGCTGCAGAGTCCTGACGTCCGAGAGGAGGGAGGGGGGCGGCCATCCGAGAGGGGGGGCGGCCATCCGAGAGGAGAGGAGGGGAGGGGAGAGGAGGAGAGGAGGGAGGGGAGAGGAGGAGAGGAGGGAGGGGAGCGGGCGCCCGGCACACAGGAGAGCCGCATCTAAATTTGTAAAGAGCCGCGGCTTGCCGACCACTGGCCTTGCGGGAGCCTAGCTCCGCGGGCCGGATTAAAAGGTCCGCCGGGCCGTATACGGCCCGCGGGCCGTAGTTTGCCCATTGCTGTGTTATCCTATTGGTCTGTTTTGAGAAAAAATTAGTTTTAGGAGTTAAATTGTTACTAAACCCACAACAGTCCAATCAGTCTGTAGATGCAGCAAAGCATGCTTGTTATACTCACTGTGGAACCTAAGGGGTTAATCCTCTGCATTGTGTTAAAAGGCTGTTTGATCCTGTCTTCTCTGCTCCTCCTCCCCTTCTTCCACAGTCCCCAATCCATCTGTTAATAGTACAGAGCTATAGGAGTCACTCTGCACATGCTCAGTTTGGTGTGTATTGCTAGAGAGGTTTTTTTTTTTTTTTTCTCTGGGATTGATTTTACTGTTGTGGGTTTAGTAAGTCCCCTTTCACTTGGGCGTTCCGTTTTTTTCATCAGTTCAGTCATGTTTTTTCCAAGATAAAGGGCTCTTTAACACGAGGCGAGCCTGTTTAGCACATCCGCTTGCCCAGTGGGGGATTTCTCTGCTGATCTTCACTGAGCAAGAGCAGACACAGAGCTGCTCGCGCTCCTCAATGAGCGGTCGGATGAAAATGGACAGCCTGTCTGTTTTCATCCGATTCGACGGAAGGGAAATTGGATCCCCATCTGTCCCTTTTTGGAGGAGCGGGTGTTGGTGGGTGTATACGGGCACATGTCTGTTTACACCCGCTGCTCCACAGAGGAGCATGGAGGTTCTGATCAGGTCACTTTGAAAAACGGGCAAAAAATGGATCAGTTCACATCAGTTTTTCATTTGTTTTTCATCAGTTTACATCAGTTTACATCAGTTCGCATCCATTCGCATTAGTTTTCATCTGTTTTTCATCCGTTTACATCAGTTTTTCATCAGTTTACATCCGTTTAGATCTGTTTTTCATCAGTTTACATCCGTTTTCCATCAGTTTACATCCGTTTTTCATCAGTTTACATCCATTTTTCATCAGTTTGCATCCGTTTGCATTAGTTCACATCAGTTCACATCAGTTTACATCCATTTTTCATCAGTTTGCATCCGTTTGCATTAGTTCACATCAGTTCACATCAGTTTGCATCCATTTGCATTTGTTTTCATCCATTTACATCAGTTTTCATCATTTTCATCAGTTTTTCATCAGTCTACATCCGTTTTTTCATCAGTTTACATCAGTTTTTCATCAGTTTGCATCCGTTTGCATTAGTTCACATCAGTTCACATCAGTTCGCATCAGTTTGCA